AACTAATGGATATGCCTAAACTTAACCAGGAGAGGGGTGGCACAATCCTAATCTAAGCCTATCGGGGCGCTGAGTTCAGCTTATCTTTTTGTTCTGAAACATTAGTATCTTCAGAACTGGAGATCTGCATAATTTAGAGACGAACAGGAATTTCTGAAAGCCTGGGAGAAGCAAAAGTGAAATCTGACCTATTTTGAGCACATCCTGTTTTTACTGTGGAGAGTTAAGTCTTATCAACTGGCTTAAATTATGCAAACCGTATTTCAAAATGATTTAGGATTAAACAGTACAATCACAAAATAACAATATAATGGGAAACGGAGGATAAGCAGATGCATCCAAGAAATGGTTTTCAAACATTGCAAATGAAACAGAGGGTTAAGGCAATGACAAAGAGAAAGCTGCCAGTGACATATCCTGTGAGAAGATCCTCAGAACAACCTGACTATTTGGGAATATAGGGGAAAAGCAGACAATGCTCTGAAAATGAGAAAAGTGGAAAAACACAGGCAAAACCTAGCCACAAATTAATCCAACAAAATTCAAAGCCAAGAAATTGTGAGCAGTGAGTCATCAGTAAAAGGGCACTTGCATGTAACATACGGGTTCAGTTCACAGGTACCCAGTCTGTTTTTTAAAATTAAAATTTAAAATATGTCAAAAATATTCAGTGTTCAGATGAAAGTTGAAAAAAAGAAGCTTTCAAGATCTCGAGTCTGTATTTTGAATGTTTGGCTAATACATCAACACAGGCTGGCTTGCCAAAAATACTAAAATACAACTAAAGAGATCATAAATTAGTAAATTGTCAAGTATTCTTAATATGTATTCCCAATGCCAGACATTTATAATAGTAAAAGCAGGTTACTTAAATAACAAGTGCCAGTTAGTACTCAGAAAGCTCAGGACAGTTTTACTTTAACAGACAGAAGAAACTAGGTTTGCTTCAGCAAACCCATCCTGAAAGAAGTAACAAAGATTTAACTTGGATACATGAAAAGTTTCTGTATTTTAGGATTTCAGTGTTCATTTAGATAACTATTATACCATGCAGCACAAACCTTTTATTAAATCAATGCATTCATTTATTTGAAATAAAAAATTTATTCAGTCACTGTATTTTGATAGACTAGCCTACTGCACATAGACAGGAGATAATGGATTGAACAGGATGTCCTTGAAGGAGAAGAGCTGCTTCAGATCACCTCTTTAATACTCAGGAGACATCCTGCTTCCAATGCCCGTCAGACTTCTGAAGGCTAAGAGGAAAGGTGCACCAATGCTATCTGGTGTAACAAATCAGCTCCTGAATCACGTAACTATAAAGCTCACAGGGAAAAAATTAAATAAGCTCTGCTTAAAATATCTCAATGTCATTTTTGAATCTATTTAGGAAGATCAGCTCTGGTGCCTTTATAGCAGCTTAGCCATGTGCATTTTAAAGGCTCACTGGTACTGTAGCCATCATCGGGTTTTGAAATTAGTAAAACACAGTTATTAAATCAGTTTTGGTCTTGCAGTCCCATTTGGTCAGTTCACTTTAACATGCTTTCAAGCAATTAAAGAAATTGTTATACAGAGATTTTTAAAAGAGGCAGGAGACAAAATTTCACTGACAGAGATCTATAACAAGACATAGATTTCTTTTGGAAAGAAAAAGAAGAAAAGACATGTAAGCCATATTCTAACACTTGTTACAGCAGGGAAAAGAAAAATTAAAACCTCACATATTAAAAGACATTTTCCCACCTATTACAGAGCCCTTTCATGTTCTGAGTGCTCGAACCCAGATCAGCCAACTTTTTGTGTCATAATATGCAGGCTTAGTAGAAACCAGAGAAACAGAAGAATTCGTGTACATACGTATAAAGTCCTCAAAACCACTACCAATATGAATTTATAGTCTCAAGATTAAAACCTGCTGGGGTAAACACTCAGCAAAGCTAGCCGTGAAAAAAAAAAACAACAAACCAAAACCCTGCATCTATAGATTTTGAGTATTAGTTGTCTGTCTTTCCCTCTTTTCACTAAAACACGTGTGTGTGCGTGCGCGCACGCCCATCTCCCCATCTCCCATGTTCAGCTGGCACTTTTGTTACAAAGAAAGTGAAAAAGAGCTCTGTGAAACAACTTATTCACAGCAGGACCTAGTAATTATGACAAAAGTACAGCAGCATAAGGCAGATAAAATGGTGTTATGTTATTTCTTTCTATTATAAAAGTCTTAGGTCTTTATATGGGGCAGCACTTTACTCACCTACCTTGTGTATCAATGTTGAACAACTTGCATTGTTCATAGTTAAACCACTGCGGACCCAGCTTAGTTTTAGTTACACCACTTAGGAGCTGTATGAAACCTCTCAAGGAGAAAAAGTCAGCAAATGATTTTTTTTTAGCTAATTACAAAGTAAAGTCATTGAAATTCTAGTTATCTTTAAAAAGCAAAATGTTTGCTTCCGAGGGGAAAAAAAAAAAAAGATCACATTGCTTTTCAGACCAATGCATTCTGTTACCATTTTTCAGTGCACCTCTACTAGTTTGAGTCAGGAATCTTGCAGGAAAACTTGCAGGAAAAGCTGGTTTCTTTAGGAGCAAATACCCTGCCATCTTAATATACGCAGTACAATGGAAAAGCTAAGACCAACAGGTTTGGGTATCTTCTTTAAAGTTGCTATGAAAAGAATGACTGCTACAGGAGACATAGTCAAACTTATATCATCTGTTTGGCTTCCATATGCATCTATGAAAATTCAAGCTTCATCCTCATCTGTCTGAAAGTATTGTTGTCTCTTCTTCTGTTTCAGTCCAGCTTGTGTCTCTGGTCTGTGGGCACTCCACACTGAGAGAAATAAAATACTGTTTTTTCCAGGGAGAAGTAAGAAAATTATTTAGCCTTCTAAAAGAGAAGAATTCAAGTAAACCAGGCACATCCAGCTGTTAACAAGTTCTTTTCTGATCCTGGGAAAGAATAAGGATCAAATATGTGTAAGTCTAACCTAAAAATGATACTGAATGCTAATGAACTAACGTATTGCTAACAAATTATTCCCTTTTTTCTTAAGGGATTCCCTTAAGAAAAATTCCCTTTCTCTCCCTTAAGAAATTTAATTTAATACATCCATGTTTTTATACACCAGTATAAAACAGCTGTTAGCCTTCCCCCTTCTAAAAATATTTGAATAACTGAAAAAAGTAATTCTTACTAAAGAGGATGGCAGCTCTGCTATATTACTTGATGTAATGGCATGGAACAGTAACATTTAACAGTCTCTGTTTTCAAGTATTGATCAGCACAGTACACTGGACATGCAAAGCATCTAACAGAGGAAGATCCCCTTCAGTCACTGGCTTAGTACCAGCTGCTGCCAAGTGCAAATGTGGTAACGGGTAAAAAAAATGAAGTTGGAGTGCTAAGCCCACCTGTGACGGTGAGAGAGACTTCACTGTAAGGTTCAAATTAGACTTCACTGCAAGGTTCAAATTAACAATTTATTTGAACTTCACTCACAGGTCCAATAACAATATATTTGAACTTCACTCACAGGTCCAATACGCCACTATCGCAGGTTTTTATGGATACAACGGAGGAACGCACTATTGCAATTCTAAACCACAGGCGCGCTAGATATTAATACCTTAAGAAGAGTGCACTAATCACAATCTTAAAGCATTGTTTCTTTGTATGCTTTATGTCTTAAAGCATACATATGTTTCTTAATCCCTTACCCTCTCTCAGGGAAGGCCTCTCAATCCCTGGGAAGTTACTTTGTAGAGCTTCTTGGCCAAGGGGGGAGAGAATCTCCTAGAGGCCAGCTGTATGGTTGGAAGACGGCCCCATTTCTGCCCAAACCTTACCGTTTTTATCTCCTGATTTGATGGGTGGGGGCAGGACTCCATGAGTGGATAATTTCGTTTAGTCTGGTGGTGTGATGGCCCTTTAGTCTACATTGACACAAAGTTACCGAATAGAGGTGGAATGGTGCTTAAGGCATTTGTTAAGGGATTATTGAAGGCGCCACTCAGGTGTCGGTTCTCACCATGACGCAGTGTTCAGGCAACTCGGGACTGAACTGTTTTTGCAGCTCCCCCCAAGTCATCTCCGCATAGATAAGGGTCTGTCAAGGTGAGATGAAGCTGAGTCGATTCACAACTCCCTGCATCTCGCCTTTGTGCTCCGAAACCGGCCTAGCCGGGTGATCCCTTACAGTTGGACATCCCTTACACCACCTCTTAGTCACCCCAATGTAAACTTACCGCCATGCAGTTGACTTTTGGGGAGGTATCTCAGTATATGCTGGTGTAAGAGAAGGACAACCGGAGTGCTGGTCATGTGGCTCCAGTGCCCACACACTGGAAAGGAAGCAATGAGAATATATAGATGTAGAACATAGGCAAAGGTTTGATACTCTTTCTTGAAGGTTTAATTTTATAGCCTTTGTCTGAAAATAAGATTTCACTACAGTGTCTTACTGCCTCAAGCTAAGTCCAAAAGGCTTTCTCTCCTATACTGATCTTATATCATGTTACGAGTAAAATACAGTTGCAATTGATAGGAGCTTCACCTATGTGTCCGAACGTGTTTTAATGAAAGCAATGGTAAAACTGCTGTTAATTTTCTGGAGAAGAGTGAAGCCCTGGAGAATACTGGTGGCTCTTTCTTTAATAAGAGCTGTATACCAGATGTAAAGCACGAGGATAGCCACTATTGCCTCAGAAAGCAGGATGGCAAATCCTACAGTCTGGCCATCATGTCCATTACTTGTTTTGGTAAAACGTGCATTCTGAGTAATTCTTCCCTGGTACAAGAAAAGGGTTAAAATCGGGCCACAAATAAGGTCTTAATGAGTTGGCCTGAAGCCAGTAAATTCAACATGGAATTGAAAGGAAGCAACTCTTTAAAACAGTATTGGAGCTATTACCAGAACACATCTAAAATAATAGCTATTACCTGCTATTACCAGAACATATCTAAAATAAGTGAGAAAAAAGCACAATATTTTGAAAAGAAACCTTTATTGTTCATACAAAGATGACTCCGTCACTTATCATGAGGCATCATTAACAAGCTAAATATGACTTTGCTTAAATCATACAATATCGCTTAATGAAAGTATCCAACACAGTTCTGATCAGTTCTTTTCTTTGTTTTTTCCTGGATGGAATGTGTGTTTTAATATCAACTCATCGCTTTTAAACTGCTAGCTTAGCCAGCATGTTATATGAATAACTTCCTTGCCAGGTAAATCCACCACAGGTACTAAAATCAGAGCTGGGGTCTTCTTGCCCAAATATTTCTCAAGGTATTCTTGCAGTCCTAAAATAGAAACAAAGCAATTAGTGAATCTTCTTTGTCTTTCTCTCATTTTCTATTGTGTCCTATCTCTTAAAAATGATTTCTAAATACATTTTTGAAAAGTATTGTGGAGTAGCAATTAAAAAAAGGAAGTGGAACGTAACTCTTGAGTTTTCACTTTATATAGAAGGAAGAATCGTCATCTCCCACCTCCTCATCAACTACTTTGAGATTAACTTTACACGTTGCCTAAGGCCATAATTCATCAAAACAGTTAAAAGCAAGTTTCTCAACCTTGAGTGAGTGATCTGTTGATTACAGATATAGCAAGCTGAAACTAAGGGCAGGTAGTAAAAATAACTAAAGGCCAGTTGAAATTCATTTTTTTGTCATTTCTGATATTTGGGTGAGCAGCACGTAGTTGTCTGTAAATGAAATTCTGGTCTCAAATCCCACTGTGGTGTATCAATCTACTAGATGTTAAAGTGGTCCATTTTTAAAAACATTATGAACATGATTTCCATTTGAAATCAATGGAAGCATGCTGCGTTGAAGATATAATGGAAGAAGTCCAGGGATGGCAACATATATGACTGCATATCTGGAATTATAGAGAGATTCAAACTGCTAAAAATACAGAGTCTGGCTATAAAGAGCTCTAAAGGGACTGGTATGTGTGGCAGAAGTTTGTAAATTTAAAGTCCATTATGGGAACGGAATTAGTAATGGAGAAGATCTAATTAGGAGAATATGGAAGAAAACTAAAGAATGGAAAATTTAAACTTGGCATCAAGACATTTCCGGTCGTGTTGCCGCCTCAGTGGACATGCTAGAAACCCAGCCACACAGAACGCTTAAAGGAGACTACCGAAAATCCTCAAATGACCTTTCAAAAGACAGTTTCTTAATGGTAAGGTATGGCTGGCATGGGTTTTGGTTTCAATAAGTTATTTGTGCGCAGCTTTGCTGATTATGGCAATTCTTTAGAACACTAAGCAATCTTGGCTAGAGAGGGTGTAAAGAGGGCAGAACTTGAAGACTGTCAGAGCTTTTTTTTTGTGTCACTGCCTGTGAAGCTGCAAATAGGCAGTTCAGTCAAAGTGTTACCTCATTTAGGATAAAACAGGAATTTTGCTATTGTATTCACTGAAGCCAAAACTCTTCTCCCTTGTTACCTGGCAGCAGTAGAATAAATTAATTTAACAATGGCAATGCTACCTATAAAAGATTGCAAAGACAGTACCAGTCTCCTGAAATTCTGCTGACTTCTTTTTTGTTAACATCATTGACATTAGAGGTGAAAACAGACAGGGGTGAGCCAAAGATCAACATTCACCTCAAAGGTCAAGGGCTTCTTCATGTTGTGTGTAAAAAGGGCCTCAGTCTTTGTATTGCAGATATTCAGCAGTGACCCGATAATTAAGCACCAGCTAACATTTTTATTCTTAACTTTGGTTTCAGAAAACTTTATAGCTATGCTGTCTCAGAAGGCATTAAGTGGAAGTGGGTAAGGGCGAGTCACTTCAAAAATCACACATTTCCTTTTTTCCTCAATTAAAATTGTGAAAATATAATTTCAGTCTTTAGCTTTTTCACAGGCTTAAAAGCTGTGAAAAGTGCTAAGAAATACCATAACAAAACCAGGTATTACTTTCAAAGGGAGAATTTGAAAGTGGGGCTATCTGGAAATATAACTCCATTCTTGTGTTTTCATGAGGTGGCCAAAATAGCGGTCAGTATTTACATTTGAACACGCCCTAGTGGACTTAGTTGGCAGCCAGAAAGAGCCATCTTTCCAAAGACCACAACCTTTTCTATTGCAAGTGCAAAATGCTGCAGCAAAGCCTACACACATAGCTGAGATGTGGATGAAAATCTGAGCCATATACCTCTAAATGTTTTATTATACTTCTAACTCAAATAGTTCGATACGAAGCCATTCTACCTTAGATGTGCGTCTTTATACATTTAAAAATTGTGGATAAAATTCTGCTCATGCAAATTCCCCCTGAAAAGAGACTGGGTCTTCTAAAACAATAAAATTGTACTCTAAGGTCCCACAGAAGACAATGTACAATTAGTAAATCTGTGCCAGACTATGTAATCATAACTGACACAATGCAAAAACTGACAGCTATATATTTTACCTGCTATAAATAAGATCCTCTATATCCTCCAATACTAATTGTATATTTTTAATGACAGGACACTAATAAAGACACAATCCTTATCTTTTTCACTCCTGCAAATTATGCTTTTGGATAAATAAGAGCCTCAGTCAAGACTATGAGAGTTTTCTGGAGCTTTGTTCAAATACACTTAAGATTTAAAAAATTTCTTTACTTTGTATCACTTACAGAAGTGTTTGCTCAGTTGCATGCCATACTTCTAAAAGTTGATCTTAAAAATGAAAACAAGTAAAGGACAGAGGGTTACAGTGAGTGTGGTTACTGGAGCTTAACAGAACTTACTGGAAGTTTAACAGAAGCTATATATGATTGATATCAGTCTTAAGGTTATTTAATTTGCCCTGATACAGAATGTTTATCAAAGTACAAACAAAACCAGCTGATTAGCAAGCAGCAAGTAAGTGGTGTGTATGGTGTATGTTTTCATTTCCTGTGACAGTCCACGTTAATTAATATTACTACATGAAATTTGCTGAAAGCAGGCAGTCTTCATCCGGTAAGATGGATCCCCACTAATCCCAACTGATCAGCAGAAGTTCAGGGCACAGATTCTATATGGAGTTTCTTTCTGCACCGCTATGCATTTTTCTGTTCACCTGGGTACAGCTGAGGGATCTGGACATAACCAAAACTTAAAATGAACAAAAATAATTCAAAGCGTTTCCCTCTCTCACCAAAAATTCTGTCATTACAATCTATTTCTGCCATTCCTCTGTAAGGACTGGATACCAAGATCAGTAGTTTGATGATCTCTTACACTGCCTTAGCAGCCCTTCCATATAACATGGCACAATCTAACAGTGTAAGCTATTGTTTTTAAAGGTGCTTTTCACACTAAGTAGATAAAACAATGTGCCAGGAGCCCCTGAAGGGTCATTCCAAATGATTAGGAAGATGATTTTTACATCTGTGCTGTCATTGCCTTCAGCAGAATTTAGGCAGCAGGTGAGGCCGCAGAATCTACTTATGTAGTTTCCAAAATCAGGTCTCCATTATTGCTGCCGTAGTCTTGCTTCACTGGATATTTGCAGGGGAGGAGTAATCTAATAGCTCATATTGAAAAGGAAAATGGTAACAAAAAGGAAGATCACATTTAACCCAGTACATAAAAAATCACTTTCATATTACAACTACTATCTTTCCTTCACTTTTTAACCAAAAGATATTGTTACATTGCTTAGAGCAGGTTTTTAAATCCCTGAGCTAATAAAGCTCCATTGCTTCAGCTGCGGAGATCTGACACGCGGCATGTACTTTGAAAAGATGCGTCACAGGGGATCAGGTTCCTAACAGTTGACTAAGAGTTCCAGTCCCAAAAGATGTGCCCCTGGTGTGCAGAACACTTAACCCTTCGACCAGTACCAACATGACTATTCACAAATTATTGATGTCCCTAAATCCCTGGCAGATTGCAGACAGTTCTTGTCTCCCTTGAAGCCAAAGCATATGGTCACTAATGAGATGGATTAAAAAATACATATACACATTCAGGGCTTTGCCACATGAATGTAAAGCCACAGAAATGGTAGAAGGTGATTGAACTGGACGGAACACTGTTAAATACATGATTAGCCTCTTGTTATGGATCATTTCCATTGATCTATATACAGTTTCACAGCATAGTTTAATTAAAGCTCTCTGGAACAAGCCTCTGCCTTGAATGATCAGGCAGTGCAATGAAAAGGTGAAACACGAGGAACTGGAGGTCTTCCCCTCCCTTTCTTACACATCCAGCTGACTCTCTCTGTGGTTTACAACCGTAGCAAGGAAGGAAAATGTGCCTTTAGAAAACTACCTGTTTTTACAAGTTCAAGGTTTTTCCCACACGTTTACTTAAGATAACATAAAATGACATAGTGGAATATAAGATTTTAAAACAAAACCTGTACAATTTATTTGCTTCATTTTAATTAATACCTTTCTGTCCAAAATAAAATCAAGCATAGTAAACAAAAATATACCATTGAAATAGAAAAGCGAGTCACTTTGCAAAATATGATTTTGTGCTGATTTTTTGCTGCAGCTGTGAAGATTTTAAATTACAGCAACGTGGACATATTGCACATTCCAATACTTGGCTTTTCATATAGTGTTCTATACTATTCGTGATGACATTATTTCATGATGGTCATCTCCCTGATAAGGGACCAGGTTTTCAAAATTGCTCTGCCCACAGAAAAAATGGAGGCAATATCTTGCAAATAATTGTGTTTCCATTTTGAAAACATATCAGCTAGATCTTCAAAATTACTAAGACCCTACCAGTTCCAGGGCAAACTGGCCAATGTTACTAAATGCTTTTATAAATTACTTCCAAAATGATAAAATTTGAAGTCAGTCTTGATTTTTTTTTCAAGTGGGAAACATTCATATGCACAAAAAGGGAAATCAACAATAAACTTAGGAGGATGGAAATGGAACTTCCTTTGGAAGCCAACCACTCCTGATTATTTAGCCTGATTATTGTACCAATTTCCCTTGGTCCTTCTGATTTTGACTGAGTTACAGTCTGTCTTTGCCTACTTATTTATAATATCTGGATAGTGATGACTTGCATACATCTAATGATGGTCAGGGTGTAATTGAGTTTTTTTAAGGACTGCTAAAAAGGGGAGTTCTGTGGCACTTTTTGTCAGACCAGATTAGGCACAGCTCTAGAGGTGATGCAAGCGCCTTCATGCAATACTGATGATGCGCCTCAATTACGCTGGCCTGGGATATTTATCTGAATACAAGTTAAGCAGCTTCTTTGAATTGCAAGGCAAGTCTGTTGCCATGATAATATGAGACTAATGACCAATATGTATTCGGATAAGGCTCTGAAACTGCTTT